AGGATGTATTAACTTGAATATGGGCTTGCTTATTAAATTAGTTATTTGTGAAATTCCCTAATAAAAATAAAAAAATTAGATTATGCTTATTAAATTAATCATTTGTGGAATAAGAAATTCCCTAATAAAAATAAAAAAATTAGAACAAAAGTGAAATATTAAGTTGAGAAAAATCATATGAGAACCTGTCTTATTTATCTAATGATTCAAAATACTTATAACCTGTGTTGACTTATGAGCTCACTTCTAGAAACAAAAGGATAAACAAAAATTGATTGATGATTAAAAAATATATTGATGATTATCAGTGATATAACATATGTTATATGTTAGTTAAAAATAAATATCATGCGTGTTTGCAATGGCTAAAAAAAAAAAGCGCCAACCTTGTATAAAAATATTTAGTTGCAAAAAATTATATCAAAGAATACGTCAATTAAAGCGCAGGGTGACAGAGTGAACGGAGCGAGTTAAAATTGTGCAAAGGTGAAGAAAAGGGGTGCGTTTTGCGCTGAGAATGGGAGAAGGGTGTCTTTTATTCCAGTCTCTATTGCACTCAATCTGGGCTGTAGCCCAGATATAGTGGCTTCTTCTTCCACCCATTCTGGGCTCTGGCCCAAAATAGAGTGGCTTTTAACTCAGTCCGTTTGGTCGTGTGCTTGGACCTATATTTTGCTTTCCATGCTCAATCAACAAGAGGCTGCTACCTGAGATAGTTTATGGCTTGGATTTAATTTGATTTGGATTTTCTTTTTATTATTATTTTTTTAAGGTTTTCAACCGGAACCAAACTCTTCCATGTTTTTTAGAATTTGCAATTGACTTTAACCAATATAATTACAAAACCATTTAGTTCAATTTGTTCCCTATTAGTCTTACATCATTATTAATTGAGTTTCAAACTTTTTATTTTATCAATTTTACTCCAAATATAATCTTCGATACCTAGCAATATCATCCCTTCATCGACCTATCATTCCATCGCCTAACATTAGGTGCTCGTTAATAAGTGCAATAATCCAACAAGCTGAAGGATAATCTTAGCGTTGAATCACAATAAATATTGATCTAATTTACTAGATTATGATTGAATACTAAAATTATCTTTGTTTTATCATAGATTAAGATTTAGTTTTATTTCTTGAATGTAAGTATCTCACAATTAGATGCGAAATGGTTGAGGTTTTTGAATTTCACTAACAGTGAAGGATGAAGTGACCTTGTCTAACGTCCAAGAAAATATTTGGAACCAAATTGATCAAGTCAGAAAGTGTTTGACTTGATTGGTAATAATTTTATATTGAGAGGACTAAATTGAGGTTTTTCCTTTTTAAGACCGCTTCGGTCTTCCCCAACCGCCCCACAAACCCGCGACTCTGCCCATAACGGCTTCAGCTTTGCGATTTGAGGCTGCCGCTATCTCAGATCACCAGAGACGACCACTGCACCATCGGACGCTAGTGATCACCGAAGCACCGCCATCCTCGAGCACGAACAACGCTGACGCTACCCTTGGTAGCATCGCCATACTAGCCACTATCAACGGCAGCTGCAACCTGAGGGTTCAGGGAGAAAGGAGTGATATTTTAAAGCGATAGGAGGTCATTGGAGATAAAAGGGTTCAAATCCCTTGACTAATCAAACGTCTCAAAGGTATCTTTCTTTCCTTGATCATTTACTTGTTTGCTAAATGTCCATGCTTTACTGGTTGGAAGTTTGAAAATGGATATTCATGAATCCTATTAGTGGCACCTAATAGAGATTATTTTATATCTTTGAGGGTTCATACCCATTAAAAAAAGAAAGAGAAAACTTTGATTGAGGTTTGACATACAGAAGTGAGTTCTGCTGAGGTTTTAGGCTAATTGCGAATCGGTGTGAGGTCTTGTGGTGGATGATCGAGTTTTTGGGTCTAAATACCCAAGTTAAAGCTTGAAACATAGAGTTTAGAATAATTTAGGCTAGAAATTGTTGTTTTGTTTCTGTTCACATGCCACCTAGTTTTGAGTTGAAGATGTGAAGCAAGCTTGTTTGGGCGTTCGGTTTATTTCTTCTTCTTCTTTTTTGTGTTGTTCTGGTGAAAATCTTGAGGGGAAATTGATGTTGGCCTATAATGATGCCAAATTAGAGTTGAGAAAAAACTTAAATTGCTTACGTCCGTGTTTTACTTCATGGATTGGTTTGGTTTTAATTTGATTATCTGCGCAGAATTTTTTAGTATTCGGGATGTGGATCATGGATAATTAAGATTTCATCTCTGGTGATATTACGCATGGTTTTGAGAGTTTTTGTGATGTGATATGGGTTTTCTCAAAGGCTCAAGACTGAGGCCAACATTGATATCTCACATGACGAGTTCACGCATATATTGATTTGTTTGTGGATACAAAAAACAGGTGCTTTGCTTGTGTTTTCATGATTCTGATGATCTTCCCCCGAAGATTTGATTTTTGGACGAAATTGGTGTTGTCACTGTTTTCTTTTGATAAAAATTTTTTTGCATGTTTTGGCTTCCAAAGCTAACAAATGTGGCTGCCTTGATTTTTGAAAATAATAGTGGAATGTTGATACGTGTTTTTTTTAGGTTTGAAGAATGAAAATGAGTTTACATACCAATGCATTTCTGGTTCATAAAAAATATGCAAACATGAAATATAAGGTCACAATACAAGGGCTCAGGGAGAAAGGAGTGAGATTAACAAACACCTTGAACTTTAACATAACTCATGTTGTGTAAAGGAAGGAAAGTTGAAGGAGGTCGTTGGATATTTATGATGATTGAGCATTGTTCGGAAAAGCGTTGTTGAGTTCTAAGTTAAGGCAGATTCATGATAAAAGAAACCTGTTAAACCTTCCTCTAAACTTCTCACTGTAATAGTGTTCAAAACCAATCTCATGTGAAGCAGGAATATTTCAAATGGAGACACAGAAAAGTCAACCAGAAAAACAGCAATCACCTGCTGTTACCTCTTGTCGACGGAAAAAGAAGGATGATGCCACTTTTTTGGTGGATTTGAAGGATCACATTGATGAGTTCATCCATGCATCTATGGATGAGCACAAGGATTGTTTCAAGAAGACTATCAAGAAGGTTAATTCCAACTTCTAAGTTCAATTGTCAAGTGGCAACTGGCAAATGTATCTTGTAATCTGTTAGTGTGTGTGAATCGGTAGCTGGCCTAACACTTTGGTTCATTTTCAGATGTTTGGAATGTCGAAGATTGTTGCTGAGAGGAGTGCTGATGCTAAGGAGGTCGAGAGTGCTCTTCCTCTCCGAACCACAGTGGCAGAGTAGAATGTCTTCACCCGTGTTCTAATGGGCTCATAATGCTAGTTTGAGTCATGTTTTGGTTTTTGGTGAAAGAATTACGACATTTAGTGCAGTTTGCTAATATCGGATTACTCTGTTCTGTTTTGAGTTGAATAAACGAATGAAGTTCGAATTCTTTGAGGACTCCATCTTGGTCTTCTTCTTTTCTTCTGAAGGGGGCGATCCCAACTCCTCGAAAGGACCATACTGCTCAACAGCCGAATAATGCTCCTCCGCTAGGACTGCTCCCCTGTGGATTTCACGGTTTCCATTCAAAGCAAGCTAATTCCTTGTCTGAGTGCTAGTTTCCTACCCTTTTTCATGCTTTTTCTCTGGTTCACTTATTTAATCTATCACCTTTTTTCTCTCCCCTCTAAATTCATGAGAATTTTACTCTTCAATTCCGGGCGCCTAACCTGAAATTTGAACCCCGATGGTTCAGCTAGATCTTTTCCCCTTGACCATGACCACGAAGGTAAGCGTTAACGTCCTCTAATTGATCTGGGCCTGTAATTCGGGCTGCTAAGAATTTAAACTTTGTCCGAATTCTTAACAGCCGAATCATGGAGCCTATTTACAACTAAGCAAAACAGATGCTCTACCAAAATGGAACAAATCAGGCAAAGATTGGAGGGACATATTGAGTGAAATCAAACGCTCAACGAGAACAGTTGTTAAAACTGGGGAGCAACATTGCAGACTTGTCACAAATGTGCATCCAGCATGGAGAACGGGATCGTTTATTGTTCTCTTGTGCTGCTGTTAAGATCATCTAGGGCCCTATTTTGCACCTTTTTGGCATTGATAAGCCGGTAGGAAATTGGTGGGCAGAATTTAATTGGACTGGGAGGAATTTTCATATGGTGACATTGCGAGGAAGATTATTCATTCAGTCTGTTTCGGTTGGGTTTACTGGCACAAAAATCCTCGAGGAAGCAAAGGACAGTGCCAGGTTTTCTGAGTTCTGTGAAAAAGGTGGAACTTATAGATAGACACAAAAATTGTATTGCATTGAGGGGATGATGGATGAATTTAAAAACTTGAAAAAGGTTAAAAACTTGAAACCAGAAACCAAAGCAAAAATGAAAAGATTCGGTTGCCACTTTCTTACAATTCGATAAAACCATGAATTAATATGAAGATTTTCGACAACGTAAGATCTCGAATTGGAAAGAACTAAAAAAACCAAGATTGTCGAACCTTCAGATCTGTAATCATCTTAAGGCTCCAAAGGAGTCGGCATGCAGTAACAGCGGAGGGAGAGGGAGAATGAAGAACAAAGATGAGCAGTAAACGAGTTTCAATTCAGATTGAAAACTAATATAAAATTAAAAAGGACATCATGATTATCCCCTCAGGTTTTCGTTTCCACATGCTTCTCTTTTTGCCGCTTCCAGTCTTTCTCTTGCATATCCTCTCCCTCGCACGCAGCACTGCTCTCGCTCCCCTTGATGTCAGCTAAACGGAAGAGCACCTCTTCTTTATATCTTGGGGTTTTGGAATTTTTAGTTTACTCTTTTTTTTTCTTTATTATTATTATTGTTTACCCTATTATTTTAGGGACGGTAAAAGTTCCAACTTTTGACTCTCTGGGTTGCTTCTGTGCTGGTTCAACGGCGGAGATCTGACTCTCTGGGTTGCTTGCTTCTGTGCTGGTTCAACGGCGGAGAAAACAATACGAGGGGGTAAAAAAAAAAAAACTACCAAAGATTCCAAAATCTTAGCATCGTTAATCCAATGGACCAGTACTAATATCCATTACCGATGTACATCACAAGCAGTTCCCGGCTGCTGACATTACTGTCAAGCCTCGAGCATTTCTTTATCAGTTTGATCGTTCAGCCTCCCAATACAAACCAAGGATGGCAGCGGTGTGTAAACAGTGATTCAGGTTTAAGAACTACATGGCTTTCGCAGTACATCAATTGCAAACCAAAAACAGATTGCAAAGAGACAAAACCACCAGTCTACCACCAAGCATCAGAACGAGACAACTGACTTGGCCTGTGTTGAAGCTTGCAAACGAGATAGAGCAGTGTCACTTTCCTCGCATTCGTCAAAAACTACGGGTCTCCCGCTGATAGGCTTCCTGTGGATCAGACAAATAAAATTTATTACAACTTGTATGAAAGGGATACATGCTCTAAAATTTCAAATTACAATCAACAAAGCATTAACAATAGCTGATGCAAGTCTTAAAAAACAGCATTTGACTGTGTCTCGTCGTTTGATTAACCCAATAGACTGCTAGTTTTTTTTTAGATTAACGTGGGTGTTCGGGCCAGCTTGCGCGCACCACGACTAATCCCACGGGCCCTGAAGTTAACGATCATGTAAGCCTCCAGTGGCCATCATATGAGCAACCAAGGACTCGAACCTGAAACCACAAAGAAAACAAATCCCTTGATCCCAAATCCTTACCACTTGGCCACCACCTAGATAGTTAATAGACTGCTAATTTTTCAGTCTATCCTTTGTTACTACCCTGATTCCTCCTGGTTTAAGTTTCAATTGTGAAGGTACGAACATCATCATTACTCAACTGCATTAACATTGGCCGGGGGAGAGGTACTGGCAGATCTTACTAAATTTACAAGACAAACAAATTACGGGACCCCATATGCTAAACTAATCAGCTTTAAAGATGCGCCGCCAATCAGACGGTTGCCGAATCATTGTTCTTATGGGGAAGTTGTTTTCGGAGGAGACAGAAATTTAGATCGTAATAAAACTGGGCAGACACAGTTTTTTTTTTTTTTTTGGGGGTGAAAGCCTGTTTAACTCCAATAGCCAACAAATAGTCAATAACACAGGCAGGAATCACAAGGCTCAGAAAAAAATATACCTTTGTGGGATGAAACTCTCTTCAGACAATGCCTTCTCTAACCTCTCCTCAAATGGTGTTGCATGCCAACTTACCTTCTGATCCTGAAAACAAAAGGCGGTTACTTGTATGCAGCTTCTAATAGTGCACGCAGTGAGAGAAGAATGAATATAGTTTACCTCTTTATATTTGTTTGTCGAATTTGGAATCCCATTTCCATCCCACCACTTCGGGGAGATTCGAGAAGCTTCATTCTCATTCCAGTGAGCAGCAACCATTCCAATGATAGGCCTGTCCCCAGGAGTTCTACCAGAACTAAAATTTTTGCCAGCAGCAGTGCCAATATTTGGTTTATCCTCACCAGTTGTGGATTGTGGTGGTTTGACCCAAGAAGACAAGCTCGCTTCCACCATCAAATCTTTCCCAGAGGATGTTTCTTTGACTCCCCATTCTGGTTTAGGAGTTGCACTTTCAGACTGCTCAAGAGATTCTCTCAGCTCACCTGACTGTTCATGTGAGTTAGAATCATCTTCCCTCAGTAACTTCCATTGAGAGGCATTTTCAACAGGGTTCAAGACCGAATAAACATATTGGGACCTGATCCTAGTCTTTCCATTTGCTAGAGTTTCCAAGTTTGCAGGAAAAACAGTACCGGGAGTTTGCATGTCGTCTGAAATTTTTAATGGGGTCGGTTTAGGAGAAGGCTTTGAAACACTCAAATTCCCTGGAGATTCATATTTCCTAGGAACTTGGCAACCATTTTCAGGCGACCCTTTAGAGGAAGATGTATCAAAATCACATTCAAAGCGAACAGACCTGTTCCTGCTCTGAACATTTGTTGCTGAAAGCCATGGAGCCCCAGTAGCAACGTTATCAATCTCATCTGATTGAACCTTGGTCATTCTTTTATGACTCCCTGACTCACTATCTTCTCTGGATTGTACATTTGTCATGCAGCTACAGAAAAGAAGGCAAGAAATATTAGCCGTTCTGAAACTTTCATGGATGAGTTCCAAGTATTGCAAACAATAAAGGAACATATTGCATGACCGGATGAGCCTCTAATGGATCTCGTCAAGCCAAGAAATAAAATACAATTATTAGATGCAGATCCTTCAACAGGCCATGTTACTCCTCAAGACCATCATAAAAGAGTCAATGAATAAGATTTACAAACAGTTTTCAAACTGATTGCAGAGCAATTCTTAAGCTTGAAAAATGAGACAAATTTAGTTTCCAGGTCCCATGTGCAAAGAGATAAGTTAAATACACGTGAATCATTTGACTACTCACAGAAGTTAGAAGTTCAACCTGCTAGGTGTCTGCTCAGAAGAAAATGAACCCTTCCCCAGTTCTTCCCAAAGTTTAACCGGAGTACGTGAGTCTTCATCTTGATTATCCAACTGAAGTTTCTCCATCGATGTGTTGGGAAGCCATGAATGGAACTTTGAAGAATCTGAATATTTGTCAAGCCCTGGTGAACCTTTAAACTTATCGCAAGCTTTCCGAATTTCAGTTGGAGTCTCTGGCAAAGTACCACAAGCTTTAAGAAATTTAGCCTGCAGAGAGAAGTCACGACCAAAATAATTAAATTAATTAAGGAACTCTCTCATTAGAAAGTTTAAGGTAGATTGTGTTATCGAAGAGCTTACAACTGAAAGATAAATCCAGAAAAACAAATAGATGAAGAGTTCAAATGTCCTTCATAAATATCAACACTAATTATAGTATTTCAGGATGTTATATATTGATGTAAACTATATGATCATCTTATAATAGGATCTACCATGGGATGCCCAACTATCATCTTCTAAAAGGCCCGACCATCTACAAACAATAGACATCATCGTAAATCATTCTCACATTTAAATGGCTTTGTGCATTTCATTTGTAATAGAAGTAAAACATTGAGATTGATAATTCGGAAGCCATAAGGGTGCCGTTTTAGAGAAGGTAAACAGATTCTGATTGAAGATCAAGCAACAATTGTTAAGTCCCGATTCAAGAAAATTAATTCAAATTTTCTAACAATTGTAAGCGACTTTAATTTATAGTTCAACGGATGAATACATTCTGATCTATCCCAATGGGAGGATGAGGTCCTGCGGCAGAGCTAATACTAGATAAAATCTCTTAACGCTACTGTTTTTCAACCGTATTCCTGGTTTGATCCTTTTCTTCATAACCACTACCTAGAGCTAAAAAGAAAACCCCATGATTGAACGCATCTTTCGGTCTCAAAACGTACTGTAGAAACCAATCATCACAAATAAATGTTTAAAACTACAGCTTGAAAGTAGCAAGAACAGCACAAACAAATTCTCATTGATAGATACAAAAATACACACCTCATCCCTGAGTCCCTTATTGACCTGTGGAGATCCTAAACACGGATTCTCAATATCACCACGCGGAGATTCTTCTTTCTCTATCAAAGAGGAAACAAATGCAATTAAAAACAAGTCAGAAACCAAAAAAAGAAAAAATCAGAGTGAAAACATGATTAAAGATATTAAACAGCTGTTTACCTTCAGATATAAATAGAGATGATAAACGGTTTTTAATCACCCCAGCTTCCTGCTTCCCACTCACCAAATAAAAGAAGTTGTGAATATCTTATAATTCAATAATCCCCTTTTTAATCTCTAGCAAACATTACACCAAAAAATTAAACACTTATTTTCTATCCAACCAAAACAGATATTAAACATAAACAAAAACAAAAATCCTGTAAAATATTAGACTAAAGAAATCGCTTGTTTTTCTAAAATTCAGCTTCCAATCAAAAAAAAAATTCCCAGCAACGATTTTTAGATACCATGGTTTCCTGCTTCCCATTCTCAACCCAGCCAGGAAAAAAATGACGACGACGGTAAATATCATATAATCGATAATTCTCTGTTTGACTTTAATCTCATAAAAAACACCGATATCAAGGAATTAAACGCTCAGTTATCGATTCGCAGCCATTTCAGCCAACACGTCTCGAACAAAAAAAAAACGCATAGAAATCCTAAAAACCAACTAAGAACAAGATTACAATTACCTAAAATTCAGTTTCAAGAAACAGAGAAAAGAAACGCTTCTTTCCAGCTTTAAGATATATATATACGGGGAACAAAACAGAAAGTGGAAGAAAAGAAAAGAAAGATTACAAGAGTAGGTTCGGATCGAAGAGAATCGGAGGAGATGCCGTGCGGTCGAGACCGATTAAAGCGATCGTCTTTGGTTCGGAAGCAGGTAAAGAAACAACCCATAGCTCTTAAAAACGATCTAAAAAGAAACCGCAACACCTTTCCCAAAATCAATCCAATTTCACGCTTCAACGATGCACATATCATGTTACTGTCATCTATCTATTTTCTTTTTCTTCTTTCTTTTTTTCTTTCGTTCTTGTGGGGTTTAGAATCAGGTTGTGAGAAGGGGGGAGATAGCTGTTGGGTCGTTTTTGAAATTTGAAACCAGCCAAACGAGGGAAAGACTTCAATGAAAACGTTTTTTAGTGCTTTCCGTACTTGATGGATAGGCAAATGATGGTGCTACTCGCTTTATGATCATGACACGTTGGTGGGTTGTGATTTTGTTTTGGAATGTACGGGATTATCCCTGTGATGAAAGAGCGAGTGTACTCTATTATGGACGCCACAGGGTGTAAGCTGAGAAGGGTGTTGGTGCAAGTTTTCCTTTCGAGGAATAACTTCTAAATTAGTCGTTTAAGTGCTTATTTGGTATTTTAGTGAAGATTATTTTTAAAACATATTTTTATTTTCAAAAAAATTAAAAACATTTATATCCAATACATTAAAATCACTTAAAAATACTATAAAAGTTATCAATTTGATTTTTTTCATTTGATTTTTTCCAAGAAAAATGCATTCTTAAAAGCTTTTAAAAGCATAAGCATTTTTTAAAGGAGCAGCTAACACACTCTGGGTTTAATATATTTGGACTTACACTCTTTTTTGAAGTTACGTGTAAAAAAATAAGTTTTAAGAACATATTTTTAGTTGTGGTTTTTAAAAAGTAGATTTTGAAAAATATGTGTTTTGATTTAAAATGTTGTAAGATGTATTTTTGCATGTAAAATAATTAAAAAAAAACATGTTTTCATAAATAAAATACATATTATTTTAGCTTCTATAATATCAAATTTTAAAATATAATTAGTACAAGATCCAGTAAAAAACAAATTATTTAACTTATCATAACAAGTTTTTCTTTATGATTGAATAAAAAATAAAAAAAATATCACAATCCCAAATATTCTCTTGTTATTTATATCGGTTTTTTGTTTTTTGGTTTTTTGTTTTTCTACTCCATATTGATATGCTATGCTTTTTTTTCTACTCCATATTGATATGCTATGCCATTGTTTTCAAGAAAGCAAAGCAAAGAACAATTTTATGCATCCACAAAATATTTGTTAACTCTTTTCCAGATTTCAGTTGTGGGCTCTCGGCCCAATTTCACCTGCTCTCGGCCCAAAACTAAAAGACGCGGGAAAATTACTGCACACACAAACTCCTCAGTACTTTCTGAACGGGAATGGTATAATTATTATTTTGCTCTTTTGAAAAAAACTTTTAACTTGGCCTCCTGGGGTCATTTGTAATTGAACAGGGACTAATCGGTTATTATTATTTTGATTGGGTTATAGGATATTTTTTATTTATTTTTGTATAATATAATGATTAGAATACCCTTAAAATTAAAAAAAAAAAATTGCTTTGATGAAGGGGTGATTTTATCTTTTTGTTTAAAAAAACTCATTAAATTTACTTTGTTTTCTGGATGGAGGCTTGCAGCATGCTCTCCAAAAACAAAATGCCAAAAACAAAATGCCATGGACATTCTGGTTCGAAGCAGTAAATTAAGTTGTTCGCGTATTGAATCGGAGTCCAACGTTTCCATTAAAGGATAAGAGATTCCAGTAAATGATGTCTTTGGTATTGAGTAATTTTTATATTTATAATTTTATAAAAAATATTTTATAAAAAATATTTTTAAATAAGATAAATTTATTAAAATATATTTTTAATTAAACTAAATAAAAAATTATTTAATATGTTTGGTTACAGCTACATTTATTTTGCAACTGCTTTTGTATTTGTGATATAACAAATGTAGTAAAATATTTGGTAATAAATCAAATTGTGTTTTGTGTTTTGCAACTGCTTTTGTATTTGCGATATAACAAATGTAGTAAAATGTTTGGTAATAAATCAAATTGTGTTTTGTGCTGCGTGATCCGTTAAAAAATTGAGTTTGAAATATAATTTTATGAAGTTATTTTTACATGTTTTTTTAATTGAATTTCATAAAATTTTATTTGTTTTTACATTTTAAAAGCGCTTTTAAAAACAAAAAAAAATTACTTCAAATTAATATTGTTTTTTGTTTTCAGAACATTTTGATGCGCTAAAATCAAAAATAGTTTTTAAAAAATAAAAAAATATTTTTGTGCATTTATAAGTAAAAAACACTTTGAAAAGCAACCGCAACCATATTTTCAAACACAATTACCAAATATTTTATATATGTTTTTGCTACACATAAATTTCAATCATAATTTTTACCAAATATGTATCCAAATCCAACTAACCACATCTAATGATATTTTTTCAAAAACTTACTTTTTTTTAAAACCACATCTACAAAAGCTACCTATAGAATAAACACTCTAGAATATTTTTTGTGTGTGCGCACATGTGTGTGTGTATATTGATAGTTTTTAATTTCAATATGGAGTACTGCTATTACATTATATAAAATATTTTTTATTATTTCATTAAACTATCTATAATTATATCATACATAAGATTCATTCGACAAAGATTACAATTTTCATGGCTTTCTGAGTATGCAACATCAAGTAAAATATCATTGAAGCAAAATAGGGATTGAGATTAAATTTTGCAAATGCTGCATCATCATGTGTTTTTCTTCTAATTGAATTATTTAATGTTATTGATTGATATTAAACACTAATTTTAAAAAAATAAAAAACAACATTTGATAATTTTTTTGAATTTTTTATTTTTCTTGATCGGACAGATTCAATGTATTTAGGTTTAGATTAAACCCAGGCCAGAATAGTAAAGACACTCTTTACTATTTACATGCGACGTGAACAATGAAAAACAGCCCAAGCGAAGGATAAGAAGAGGGGGTAGGGGAAGGGAAAAGATAGTGCAACGGTGATAGGTTGAGGGATGGTGGAAATGCTAGAGGCTGGCTATTCTACGCTATTCACATGCAACATGAACTGTGGAGACGAGAAAGCAGCTCGAAGGTGAAAGAGGAAGAGAAGGAGGAGGAGGAGAAAGGGAAGGTCGCGCCTCTGTTTGTGCTCTTCTTCTCTGCCTTTATTTATGCTCTTCTTCTTTCTCTTTTCGGTTGCGACTCTGTTTACAGTAGAGATGGGGAAGCAATAGAAGAAGATAATGAATGAGGAGACTATGAAAGGAAACGTCGCGCCTCTATTTCTACTCTTATTCTATTTCTTTTAGGTTGTGCCTCTGTTTATAAAAGAATAGGAAACAACCTGACACCGTCTTCAATCGTATCACCTAGACCACAAAGAGAAGCAGGGGAGAAGAGAATTCAGCAAGAAAAAAAAAATAGAGAAAAGGAGACAGCATTAGTTACCTAGCCCATTCCTCATCATCATATATCAAGCAATAGCTTGGAGGTGTTTTTTGCTAACCTACGTTATAAATACAAAATAATAATGAGTTTCACAAACAGTAATTCATGTTTAACCTTAACCAAATAATTTATTTTTGTGATTTATTTAAAACGCTTAAGCAACCACAAAAATAAATACTCTCGGAGACTATATAAGAAATTTGAGGTGGTATCAAACCTTCAATTAAGATTTAGAGTGACATATTTGTGAGTTTGATTGGAAGTTGTTTTTTGAATTATTTTTAATTTTTGAGATGTATTAAAATAATATTTTTTTAAAAATCAATAAAAAAAAAGGGTGAAACACAGCCTTGGCTTCTTCTTCAAATTTGTTCATACTTCAGAAGAGTCAATTATTTCCAACACTTTCAAATCCACGCATTGCGGCGTGGTTACGTGGGCGAGAGCAAATGGTATTTTATTGTTCCGATTTCGCTAATTAAAAAATAAAAGTTGTGGTTGGAAATTGCGGTAACAGAGAAAAAGGCCATGAAAGTGACAGCAACGGCCAAGCTTACTTTCTGCACAGGATTAGGAGCTGCACAGCCCGCACACATGTTGGTGGACTGTAATTCTGTGCACGGGATTAGGAGCTGCACAGCCCCCCGCACACATGTTGGTGGACTGTAATTCTCAAAAAACAAAAAACACAAAAAAATGGTGATTGTAGTAATTTTATTATTTCCTTTTGAATTCTCATATCATTATTTTTCATGTCAAATTCCTGGGATAAATATATACAACGGAATGAAATATTTTAATATGAGTTTTAATTTAATCTTCCAATTCTGCCCCTTTTTTCCAGCTTTAAAAAACTGACAATAAATAAATAAAATTTCCTGTACACATGCTAGCGCCACGTTAAGGATCAGGGGTCATGCCTGTGGAAAAGTTGCTAGCCAGCCAGCGATGCATCTTTACTGACGTGTACGTGAGAAAAACCACAAAATCAGTTTTATATATAATTAGAAATACTGTGATTTATTGACATTACTGATTAGAATAGAAAAGGATAGCCCCCTCATCGCTCGAGAGTCCAGTGAAGAAAGGGATTCAATTATTTATATATAATTAATTATTATATTATTTTGATCTTGTTTATGTATTATCATATTCATTATAATCATATCTATTTGAATAAAATATCAAATATTTCATATTCATAAAACATTTAATCTAAATTTTGTATAAATTTATAGCATTTTATTTTTTTAATTTATTGAATTTGAACTTATAAAATCTTTATCTCGGAAAATAAAAGCAAAAGTTAACAATTAAAAAAAACCATGGGATATATTTTATTTTCTTGGCGTGTATCGAATTTAAATTTTTAACTATTCCCAGTTTCTAAAAAAAATAATATTGTATCATTTGATTTTATAACTTTATTAAAAAAATAATTAAAAACAACAAAGAATCAAATAAAACAATATACATGTGAACTCATGGCTTATAATATAAGCTTTTTACTGGTTCAAGAAAAATAGTGTAAAATAAATTTAAATTAATAAAATATTATCCAAAATATTTAGTTGAAAAAAAACTCGATATTTTTTTTCTCAACTTGTTATTGATATTTTATTATTATTTTTTTTTACATGTAACAAGATGGTATTTGTACAAGTTTAATTTTCTTAGCAAATACAAGACTGTATTGGTTAAACTTTAATATGCACAATTTATATACCATAACCACAGTGCTATTTTAAATTATATATAATTTGAAAGAATAGTATATAAGGAAAATAAAAATAAATAAAAACTA